TACATACTTACATAATACATAAATATACAATAAATATATAGTCTGAGAACTCAATGTACACTATGTATCCTAATTATAACCATGAGGGTTGAACAGGATATTGTATGGGGGGGGGGTGGGGGCGATGCTACTACACTCAAAATAATCTCACGGCTGGACGGGGCACGGCCTTCTCAGAACTTTGTAAGCACATTAAAATGTCAAACAATGCAACAAACGGAAACGGCTATCAGTAACCAATTGTCGAGGGGACTCCGCCAAAAAGTCACGTGATTTAGGTGGTAGGCGTAACTGGAGAAGACGGTGGACGGGGCTTTCAGGTATTGACATTATATTATGACAAGATTTCAAAGCAAATGAAAAGTAGAAACACACAATTTCACAATATCAGAAACACAAACGACAAGTGAGGTTGGAATGCCTTCATCTACACTTTACACAGATCTAGGTGCTTTATTAATATCCTACCCCAGACAGGAGAAATCCACAGGTCACCGGACAGTAATATTTCAGGGGGTGGTAAATAGGTTGCGTCGTGGGACCTAAGCTGCACTCTCTCGTGAAATGTAGGTGGGTTGGGGTTAGGGTCGGTTCTAGATGTGTTAGGGTCATTAAAAGCATTCGAAAGCCGGGAAACCCAGTCTTACCACCCTCTAAAATGCTGGACTGTCCTGTGACGTCATTTGGGGGATATGATATTCATAAAGAACACTAATCTAAAATACCGACTGACTGACTGACTTTCTACCCCACCAGGACATCATACAAGCGATAAACACCTGATGACACAATGTGCCACCATGTGGATGAGGAACATCGTGGTGAGGAAAGTCCTGGTTGTTCGTCAGTTTACACTTTGGCTTTGTGCCAGGACCTGAGTTTTGCATGTGCATCTATTTTACTGGCTTAACTGTGCGCAGATGATTGTTCCTTGCCGCTCAGGCAGATGCAATCCGACTTAGAAGGAAGTCCACAATTAGTAGAGTTCTACGACATGCTAAATTGTGGAAGCAGTGGGCCTATTCTCGTTTTCCCCACAATGGGGCCCCAGAACCCGCATGGGGAATTATTAATTCAGAGCGAGAGGCAACGGCTGTACCAGTTCGTCAAGGAGCCATCCCCCCCCCCCCCCCCCCCCCCCACCTCTGTCTTGGATATGAAAACCACTGCATGAGGAAGAAAAGAATCAATAATTCGTATTCCCACACTGTATGCCTACTGCAAGTTTCTTTAATAATTGTAGGAGGGGTGTCCTAATTATAACTGTGTTATCTTCTTCTTCTTCTTCGCGTTCACCAGATGTAAACTCTGGCGGAAAGTTCTGGTTGTTTAGCCACTTCTCGACTGCAGTCCCGCTCCAGAACCTCAGTGTGGCGTGTGCATTCGTTTTACAGATCTGACTCATTTGTATGCAAACTGCTGGTTCCTTGCCTCTCAAGCAGATGCACTCTGACTTTAAAGAAAACTCCCAATTAGTCGACTCTTACGACATGCTTTTGGGTAGGCAGTGGGTCTATTCTTGTTTTGCCTATAACAGGGCCCCGGAACCCACACAGGGAATAATTGTGTTATCAGGTCTGTGGCTTAGGCGTTGCAAACAAGCTTCGTAATGCCAGGGCGCCGGGTTCGATCCCAGCTACGGACGGTTTATCTTGCGTTGGTTTCGACAGTGGTTTCAAGAGCTGACCGTTCAGTAGCAATGGCAAACTACTGAACGTAACATTTGCCTAGAAAAACTACAACAGCCAAAAAAATGCTGGGGTTAGTTCTTCAATGTCCTGTATAGCATACGCAATTAACTTCACAAGGTTGAACGAGGTTTCTGTGAATTGTTTCTGCTGAATTCTCTTTCTTGGAGTGTTAATTCTACACGCAGAAATTCTGGAGAGGAACAATATTAACTGTTTCTATACCAAGAATCATCGGCTATCCTCCGAATAACGGTCCCAGATTATCGAGGCCGAAAATATACCCTAACATGGCATCAGTAAAAGTAAATTGTGGATTTCTTTTCGCCGAGAGTATCTCCCACGTCGCTACGCGCGTTGCGGGGTGGCACTGAACTAGATGGCTAGGACTCATGAGTAAATAAAATGAAGGAAGCTGCAGGAGATGCGGTAGCTGCTGCTTGTGAGTCTAGTTTAGTCGCCGGAAAAAGGTCCGCAATTGACAATGTGATTGCGGCCCTGACTGAGGCCGCGATAATTTGGGACCGTTATTCGGAAGATAGCCGAATCATCCTTCGCTGATTGATTGCCTAGTAAATTCATACATCATATATTTATTATAACTTTCCACCTGCCCAGTGCCGTTACATAGTCATTCACATTTCGACGAGAGGTAAATAACGTAACACTTCTCAGTGACAGAATGAATGCTAGCAACCCCTATCTGTGCTAGAAGATGAGTTAATCACTACAAGAGAGCCAGTTCATCAAACAGCTGCCTAAGACAGAAAGAGTTAAAAATTACCAATAAAAAAAAAAAAAAAAATAAGAAGAATAATTAAACCAGCTGCGAGTTGTGCTTCAACACATTAAAAATGTGTGTAATGTTTACAATAAATAATTCAATAATACATTCGAGTCCACTTAAGTCGAACTCGGATAAGTCGAATTTTGGCATCTCCTCCGAACTTTGTCCCAATATTATGGCGGCCATAAAATATCTTTACGGGGCTCAGTTCTATTAAAAATATGCCGGCTCCGTATAACGAAACAAATGCTCTAACAGGGTCTCAGCGATATGTTACTTGCGGACCTGTTTCTGTGACTGTGCCTCACAGCCGACTAAACTAGATGGCTGGGACTCACGAGCAGCAGTTACCGCATCTCCTGCAACTTCCTCTAATTAATTTGCTCTTGAGTCCCAGGCACCTAGTTTAGCTCCCCATCCGCGACGCGCGTTAGGGCGCGGGGGATACGCTCTGCGGTGAGTTTAATCGCGTTTTTCGCATGCCGAAAAGTGTGAGGAAAAAGGTCGGCAGGTCTGCCATCTACCGCTGCTAAATCCTCAATCGAACGAACAGTATTGCTAATCTGCGTGGGAGCGCGTGGTCTATCCGCCATATCGCTTTCATCGTCTGTAATGTCTCGAAATCGTCAACGGTCGCTTTTATCGTCTGCTACTATCGTCTGCAATGTTGCGTCTCTTGAAATTGTCAAGTAATCCTAGTTTTGCCGCAATTTGTTTCTTGGCAGAAAGTCCGCATTTTACATATGCCTGAGCCCCGTTAGGATATTTCATGGCCACCATAATATTAGGACGAAGTTCGGAGGAGAGCCGAATTTCGGTTAAGTCAACATGATCAGCTTAGTCCCGGCAATTTTCTCTATTGTGTGTGCTGTCTGGATAAGTAGAAATCCTGATAAGTGAGTGGAAGCATTTTCTTAGGTCCCTGCGACTTCTACTTTGCCAGTCGACTGTAATAATAATAGTAATGCAAATGCTTCGACACGATACACACCATTACAATTACATTAATTTATACTGGAAATAAACTACGTTGAAAGTGTTTACGTAAAACAATATCTTGTAGTGTCTAAAAAGCATATAACATAAACAGTTTAAAACTACATACCTGTCCAAGCTCTGATCTGGCAGAAAGAAAACACAGTAGCACAGATAACTCCACACACATAAGACGACACCCAAAATATAGACAATCCTAAGCATTTAATCGGTAGCAGCTACACGTCTAGAATCTAGATCAATCCCCGTTTGCGATTACCGTTAGTTGCGTGTTATTAGCTAACAACAGTGAGAAAGAGACGGGAAGTGGGGTGGGAGCACGTCGAGAACTTTGGTCCAAATTGTATCCTAGCAGTGGGCATTTTCCAGCTGGAATGATTCGGCATTTTTAAGTTGGTCGCAGGTTCTTTTGTGATAACGCCCGTCAATAGCCGCTGGGGTGTGACATAACATATCGCGCGTGCTTAGGCTTTCATTTCTATAAATAAATCAGAAGATTTCAAGGCTGGCTTTAGGACCTGGATAAAACATGACACAGAAGCAGTGAGTATGGGCACTTCATTTACATAAAGGCCACTCCGTCTGTCCATTCATCTGCATATTCATTTACGATTTACTGGATTAGATTTATTGGATTAGTTCATGAGCGTGGGTAAAATTAACGAATTGTGCTTTTAGTACAATTAGTATAGCTACTTTTGTTACGGTTACAGCTACTGCTGTAATATTACAGCAATAGCTTCAACTGCTACTGTTACTAGTAAGACTCTTATTGCTGTTGGTAATACTACTACATATTCTACATCTATTGCTACTTTTGTTGCTACTAAAAAGTTAGTTGCGTATCCTTTACAGGACGTTGCAGAACCAACCCTAACAGCCCGTGGCTGTTGTGTGGTTTCTCTAGGCAATTTACATCCAGTAGTTTGCCATTGCTACTGGACGGTCGGCTTTCTTGATACCACTGTCGAAACCAACGAAAGTCACATTGCCCGCAGCTGGGATCGAACCTGGCATCCCGGCATTACGAAGCGAAGCGTTCGCATCGACTTAGCCACAGAGCCGACTTTGTTGCTACTACTAGTGCCAATACTGTTACTTCTGCTATTGCTGCTGTTGCTACGACTTCTGCTATGACGACGACCACCAATACTACTACAACTACCAACACAACTATATTTTTACTACAACGACTATTATTAATACTAATACTACTACCACCTTCACTGCTACACCTACCACCACTACTACTTTCTTACTACTAGCTCTACACCTACTACTACTGCTGCTGCTGCAACTACCACCACCACTATTTCTACTACTACTATTACTACGATAACTAATACTACAACCGCTACTGCTGCTGCTGCTACTACGATTGCTGCTCCCGTCGCTGCTGCTGAAACTACTACTACTACTACTACTACTACTACTACTACTACTACTACTACTACTACTACTACTACTACTACTACTACTACTACTACTACTACTACTACTACTACATCGCAGCAGCTGCTGCCGCTAATATGTCTTTCATCATTATCATCATCAATCAGGACTTCATTTACACAACGCCTTTATCAACGCATAATGTCCTTATTCATTCAGGTACGGTACTTGAATGTTTCCTAGGTCACCTGCAGATTTCAAGCCAGAAATGGAACGTTTCAGGGCACTGGGCCGCTCGGCGTTTGTGCTAGGGTACACAGGCTTAGCAGGAAAAGCGCTTGTGAAAGAGCTGAACAAAGCTAAAATTTTCACAAAGGTAGTCTTGATTGGACGTCGAGAAATACCACTGGATGTGGGGCCAGAATTTGTAAGTATTTACTTTATAGAAAAAAAGAAAATAGGGTCATTTGAATTGATATGCTATAGAATGATTTTTAGATTACTATGGACAAAGAAGAGAAGAAATACAATCATGTCCTCCAAGATCGTTTCAAATACAACATATCAAGACAAAACTTTTGGCCAAGAGAAACATTGGTGCAAGCCAAACTTTACGGGTCGCTGAGTGAATTACAAAAGACAGTGAAGTTCATACTAGAGAAGTTCATACTAGAGACAACATTGCAGATATAGCAAATCTTTTTCAAGCGAACGAAAGAAGAAGAAGAAGAAGAAGAAGAAGAAGAAGAAGAAGAAGAAGGAGAAGAAGAAGAAGAAGAAGAAGAAGAAGAAGAAGAGATACTGACATTTTAAAAGATCTGAACATCAAGGAAGATTGGCTGATAAACAGCATCTTGTCTCGAAAGCTGAAATATTTTGGTCGTATCAAGCGCTATGGCGAACTGGAGAAAATAATAGCAGAAGGCATGATACCAAGAAGGAGGGGAAGGGGTCGACCACCAGGAAGATTGGCATTGGATGTTAGTGACTCTTTGAATATGAAAGTGCACGAGGCGGATAGGCGAGTTTTTTTTAGGCAGACTGTGATGAGAGCGATGTTCTGCAAAGGACCTGCTACAAGATTACTTCAAAGTTTTCCCCGTATGAGTTCCGTGGCTCCACTTTATTTAAAAAAAAAGACCTATTGCACCACATCAAGGATGTCGTAGGAGGCGACTTTTTTTGGGGTGTTTCCTTCAAAGTCGGAGGGCATCTGCCTGAGAGGCAAGGAACCAACAGTCTGTATTCAAAAAAGCCAAATCTGTAAAATGGGTGTGCACGCAAAAGTCAAGTTCTGGATCAAGACCAAAGTCCAGGAGCGGACAAACAACCAGAATTGTCCACCGAAGTCAAAGCAATGAAGAAAAATACAACTTCAAAGTGTAATCATAATGTATTTCACAAATGAACCCTTTTTCGTTAATTGTCCTGATTTTCTATCAAGGATTTCGTTTGGCAGAATATGGTTTGCATTCTCAGTAAAGTCATGGGATGATTAAAAATTATTAACAAACCATTGGGGAGGACTAAGTTATCATGCATTTGCCCAACAAGCGTAAGACAGAGAAAGATTACAGGTTTGATGGTGCTTCCATCGATATGCCTCCACGACCCTAACAGGCCAAGGCTTATGTAATTAGTTAGTTAGTTAGTTAGTTAGTTAGTTAGTTAGTTAGTTAGTTAGTTAGTTAGCTAGTTAGCTAGTTAGTTAGTTAGTTAGTTAGTTAGTTAGTTAGTTAGTTAGTTAGTTAGTTAGTTAATTAGCTAGCTAGCTAGTTAGCTAGTTAGTTAGTTAGTTAGTTAGTTAGTTAGTTAGTTAGTTAGTTAGTTAGTTAGTTAGTTAGTTAGTTAGTTAGTTAGTTAGTTAGTTAGTTAGTTAGTTAGTTAGTTAGTTAGTTAGTTAGTTAGTTAGTTAGTTAGTTAGTTAGTTAGTTAGTTAGTTTGTTAGTTTCTTAGTTAGTTAATTTGTTAGTTAGTTACTTGGGTTATCATCATTGCACACCGGACATGTCCATAGGCTTATGCAATGTTATATAATAGCGAAGAGTAGAAGGACTTGGTGGGAGTTTGTACAGGCCTATTTCCACTGGGGCGCAGAAGGCAGACGAAGAAAAATATCTATCACACCAAGTGTGTACTTTGGTATGAAAGAGTATGTTTTCTTGCATCTTTCCAGAAACAGAAAGTTGTAGACTTTGGTAAAATACATGAGCATAAAGACGTTTTCCAAGGCCTGGACACTGGATTTTGTTGCCTGGGTGTGTCCAGTAAAGGGATAAGTCAGGTAAGTTTCAGACCAGCAGAGCAGGAATATGAAAGAAGAACGTGGAAATCTATGGAAGTCAAAAAAAAAGTGGGAGTCGCCGTGGCGTAGCTGCTAGACGCTCTCGTGCGGATCGGAAGGTCGTGGATTCGCTCCCTTGCGGAGACGGACTTTTTAAAAAAATGACTGACTTTCAGTTCGACCCAGCCTTGAGTGGGTACCGGGTGCAGTCCTGGGAAGTAAAAGCGGCTGGTGTGATGCTGATCACATCACCCATATTGTGCCAATTGTTGATCTATAAAAATATAGGTCTAGCCCTATATGCCTAAAGGTGTGGAAGAGGGTCCTTTACTTTTTTTAACAGAAAGTAAACATATTTATTTCTAACGTCAGATAAGTAGGCACAATACATGATTCTGTGGAACATCCAAGAATCAATTGTTTTGGTTATCTGGTCAGAACTGAACAAAAATCAGCCAGCAGATAGAGTGTACTACTTGAGAACATCAGGCTTCAAGGCAGGAGTCGACCAAGAAAGATATTGCTGGAGGAGTAAATGAGACACTGCATGGCACTTCATACAACATTAACACATGTTCAGCAACAAGAAAGACACTATATCACACTGTATGACACTTCATACAACATTAACACACGCTCAGCAACAAGAAAGACACTACATCACACTGTAAGACACTTCATACAACATTAACACACGCTCAGCAACAAGAAAGACACTACATCACACTGTATGACACTTCATACAACATTAACACACGCTCAGCAACAAGAAAGACACTACATCACTCTGTCTGACACTTCATACAACATTAACACATGTTCAGCAACAAGAAAGACACTACATCACACTGTAAGACACTTCATACAACATTAACACACGCTCAGCAACAAGAAAGACACTACATCACACTGTAAGACACTTCATACAACATTAACACACGCTCAGCAACAAGAAAGACACTACATCACACTGTAAGACACTTCATACAACATTAACACACGCTCAGCAACAAGAAAGACACTATATCACACTGTAAGACACTTCATACAACATTAACACACGCTCAGCAACTAGAAATACACTACATCACACTGTAAGACACTTCATACAACATTAACACACGCTCAGCAACAAGAAAAACACTACATCGCACTGTAAGACACTTCATACAACATTAACACACGCTCAGCAACAAGAAAGACACTACATCACACTGTATGACACTTCATACAACATTAACACATTTTCAGCAACAAGAAAGACACTACATCACACTGTATGACACTTCATACAACATTAACACACGCTCAGCAACAAGAAAGACACTACATCACACTGTATGACACTTCATACAACATTAACACACGCTCAGCAACAAGAAAGACACTACATCACACGGCATGACGCTTCATACAACATTAACACACGCTCAGCAACAAGAAAGACACTACATCACTCTGTCTGACACTTCATACAACATTAACACATGTTCAGCAACAAGAAAGACACTACATCACACTGTAAGACACTTCATACAACATTAACACACGCTCAGCAACAAGAAAGACACTACATCACACTGTATGACACTTCATACAACATTAACACACGCTCAGCAACAAGAAAGACACTACATCACACGGCATGACGCTTCATACAACATTAACACATGCTCAGCAACAAGAAAGACACTACATCACACTGTATGACACTTCATACAACATTAACACACGCTCAGCAACAAGAAAGACACTACATCACACTGTATGACACTTCATACAACATTAACACATGCTCAGCAACAAGAAAGACACTATAACTCCTCTCCACGATGGTTTACAGCGGAACTATTCCACTAGCAGCCCAAGGGTCACGTGAGACTAGCTAAGGTCTAGCAAGAGGCCCATGGAACATTGCCACTTGTTTTGTATTAACGATCTTTCTGTGCTGTGGCTCGGACTTCTAGGCTGTGATGATCCCCTGTCTGTCTAAATTCTGGCCCTTAAGTAAATTTAGTTGAATAGCCTTGCTTCACAGCATAAACAGTAGGACAACAGAAGTAAGCAAAAGAATCAAATCAGCACTGTTTACTGTTGTGTGGAGCAGAAGCATGGAGTATGACTAAAACAATTGCTAATAAACTATAACCATTGATAGAGAGTTTGGCATATTATACCACAACATCCAGCTTAGGAATTAAGGCGGAGGCGGTCACTGCAGCTTTCCGCACACACATGGTGATTGTAACCGACTCAGAAAGCATGCTGAGGGTGATCAGGACAGGCATGCTTCGTGCAAAGTGACATGCTTCACTGCGGAGGACACGGGAGAGGAGTATTGTCTGGATTTTTCCCCTGGGACCGCCGGTGCTTTGGGAAATGAACAGGCGGACATATTGGCTGACTCTGCACAACTTGGTAGAATACTTATGCATGATAAGGCAGACGTGGTTAGTGCCTTGTGGGAGAGCGTGTACAATTCGGAGGAGCAGATGGACCACCACAGTCAGGTGAGATTGATGCAGCGGGGAGTGACGAGAGGTTCTGCCAGATGCTCTAGGCTCAGAGGAAAGGCAAGACGAACGTTCATTCAGAATGCTTCTTCTTCTTCTTCTTCACTTCCTCTTTTACCGCTGTGGGTGTCGAGGGAGATATAAGGTTCTGTTTCTAGCTCTTCTGGCTGCCTCGACCATAGGCACATCGTGCTGTTGTAGAGTTTCTCTGATGTTATCCCTCCATCTTGTTCTTGGTCTACCCCGTGCTCTACGTCCTTCTTCTCTTTCCATGTATGCTTTGTATGGTATGGTGTCACAAGGCATTCTCTCTAAGTGGGCAAACCATTTCACTTGCTGTCTTTGTATGTAATCCAGAATTGGTTCTGTGCCGACTTGTTCTCTTATGATCTCATTCCTGATCTTATCTCTTATGGTCACTCCTACAGCCTTTCTCAGACATCTCATTTCCGTGGTTACTTATTTTCTTTTATGGTTTGTTGTGAGTGACCATGCCTGGCACTGGTAGCACAACGGGGCTCTGGTGAAGTTGCGACAGGCCTAGCAAGCCGGCAATGGATGTATTACCGCTACAGAAATCAAAATGAGATATAAACGGACTGATCAAACGGATTCAGAATGCTACTGGTACAATAAGTATCGGAACTCTTCGCTGGCTGCTGAAGATGGGGACAGGGTGCTTATGGGAATGCCGCGAGTGCTGTGATTTCGGTTCGTGAATCAACTCAACTCAACCATTGATAAACTAGTGCCTGTTCGGAATACGATAAATTAAATGGTTTAACATAATAACTAATGCACGGAGAAAAACTAAACACATTTCGTACACTGATGCGGAACAGCACAAAATGAGGAACACCACAAAATGAGGAAAACTGAGAATATATAACTAAAGGTCCGAATCTCAGATGGTTAAAGTAATATTGGAAGACAGAAGCATACAGGGAAATGAGTTTGGGGCAGACGTGGATTTAGGTAGACAAAAAAAAAAGGAGCTGGGAGAGATGACAAAGGAAATTTAGACTTGAGGCAAGTTAGTCTGTACTCCACGAGACGCTGCCATTCCCAGAAGAATATATATATATATATATATATATATATATATATATATATATATATATATATATATATATATATATATATATATATATATATATATATATATATATATATATATATATATATATATATATATATATATAAGTAGAGAACCATTGTCCATGCGTTGGGATGTATTGGGCTTAGAGGGCGTGACCTATTGTCTGCAGATGAATCGACACTCGGTAGCTGCGTTGACATGGGAACCAAGCTCATTTTTTAAAAGTCCGACTCCGCCAGGAGCTGAATCCACTACCTTTGGATCTGTGGTCGAGCAGCTAGCCGCTACACTACAGCAGTGTTGCCACTTTTCTTTGACAAAAAATATCCAAAACGGTGTCAAAAAATATCTAAAAAGATCTAAATCTGCGTGGAAAAGATTTAGAAAAAACATCCAAATTGAAAAAGTCAAAAATTACATAGCTTTTGTTATGACTTACCCTACATAATCATGTCCTCATCTTCACTGATGTCTGCCTCACAAGATCCACAGGATAAACTTAGCTTGGATAATGAAGTTGAAGCTTTAGATCCAAAATGACCCTGGTATGCTTTAGCTGTTCAAATTTATTTATAAGTGGAACAGTAGGCTTATTTCTCTAGTCTCACCAGGCCGAATTTTAATGGCACGATAGCATTTAAGAGGTCAGATATCATCCTGTTTTTTTTTTTTTTAAGGTTAGATTTGATATAATTCCTAGCGCTGAAAACTCTTTCTACGTCAGCATTTGAGTGGGGTAGTATCATGGTAGACATGGCACTTTAAAGAGCTTACAGAATGGACTGTTTGATGAGGCATCTTTAAATTGTCTCACTTCACTCCAAAACGCTTTAGTTTCTGTTTTGTTTGTCCATTCAGCTAACATTATTTTGATTAACTGATATTCTGCCTCCGCGACACTATTATCAGTAGCCCCTAAAAATTTCATAACTTGACAATATTTAGGTATGTTCTTTATTGGCTGAAGTATGTTGCTCACAGAAAAAAGTGAAATATTTTTCAAAACATCTAGATTTTCAGGAAGTCTCTGCTTCAATTGCTTCAATAAGGAGATAAGGAAATCTTGACAGCGTTTTCTTAAGTTGTTCTCTTGAATTTTTGATTCGATTTAATATCCAAGGTGTGGCTTAGGAGCCAAATAGCTCTCTATAGTGCAAGTGAGCAAATCAGCTTTAGAAGTTGGCAACACCAGTCTTTTACTGAGTGAAATAGCAAGGTGAGATCATCAAGTAATTTGACTTTATCAACAAGTTTAGATTCGAACAGTTTATTAACTTTTTGCACTTCCATTAGAATAGGTTATAAAAATAGAATGAATGACAAATTGTTTTCATCACTGTACATAAAGTATTTCAGCTGTGTAGCACTTTTCACTTTGTCTTGTTATTTCTTCTTCTTCTTCTTCTTCACGTTCACCAGCTGTACACTCTGGCGGAAAGTTCTGGTTGTTCGTCCACTACTGAACTGCAGTCCTGCTCCAGAACCTGAGTGTTGCGTGTGCATCAATTTTACAAATCTCATTCTCTTGAATACAGACTGTTGGTTCCTTGCCTCTCCGGCAGATGCACTCCGACTTCAAAGGAAGCTCCCCAATTAGTCGACTCTTACGACATGCTTTTGGGTAGGCAGTGGGTCTATTCTTGTTTTCCCCTACAATGGGGCCCCGGAACCCACACGGGGGTTGTTATTTCAAAGTCTGTGTTGAACTTCAGCCATTGCTTCATAATTCTTTCAACGGCTGGTTAAATTGATAACCATCTAGTTTTGCAATCTGACAGATTTTTCGGTGGTGTGGAACCATCATTCAAGGTTGTATATATTGTATTGTATTGCTGTTGTCTGACAAATGATTTGGAAAAAGGTATTCCAAATTCCTTGATAAATATTTAGATGAAGCATGTGATAATGCTAGCTGCAATGAATGACGCATACATTTTATAAGTATTAACGATGGGTTAGCTTCCTTCAACTTGGCATAAACGCCATTGTTTATACCAACCTTCACTGAGGCATTATCAGTACCAATTACGGCCAAATTCTTCAAGCCTAACTGTTTGCTGATTAAAAGGTCCTTCAGTTCCTAAACTATACTTTCTACATCACACTTTTCAAATTGAACTAGTCCAAGATTTTTTACAAATCAAATGGTCACAGTTTGAAATTGCGCAGTGACAAATTAAAAACATTGCGACTGATACTTAAACTTTTGATGATTCAATTATCAGTATAGTTCTGAAAACAGATGTCAGCGGTGTAATATCTTTAAATGAAACTGCAGTTTTATGCTTTTTTAGTCTCTGCATGACTCTTTGAGTTTTGTATTTTCGCTTTAATTTCCCACTTGCAGTACTTACAACAAGCTTTGGTCATATCCCCAGTTTTTAATTTTGTCATCATGCAACCACTCTTTCCAAATTTTTTGCTCATACTTTACTTTTGGCATGTTGAAAGGTTTTTTTCAAAGTGAAAGCCACATAAGAAGGTGAGCAATTATTTTTTTTTTTAAATCACATGAAAAAGAAACGCAAAGTCAGCAGAGTGACAGTGAGGATACGGTTGAAACAAAGTTAGTATGATTTAGGCGCGTTTTTATTAATCAGTACCCGGGCTGCCAGATATTTGTGCGTTGACCCCAGTGAGAGTTCAAAGTTCAAGTAATGGCAGTTGTCACAATGTACACAAATATTGTAGTAAATATTTTACACAGTAATTATTAAATTGACAATGAAAGAAAAAAATCTATAAAATATCTAACTCCATATGAAAAGTTTCTAGAAAAATATTTACGATCTAAACGTGAAAAACAGTATCTAAATACAATGAAAAAGATCTAAATTTGGATATAAAAGATCCAAAGTGGCAAATATGCACCACAGTAGCTCCCAGAATGTTTATATAAATGCACACGCACACACACACACACACACACACACGCGCGCACACGTCCACCCACTCACACACTTATATTCTTCTCTATTCCTAAACTTCTAAACAGGAAGACTACATTCGTATTACCCGCGACTACTGTGTGTCGGCTGCTCAGGTAGCTAAGGAGCAAGGATGTAAACATTTCACCATGCTCACAGGCAATGGTACAAAGAAAGACAGCTGGTATTTATTTGGCAGAGTGAAGGTAATTTAATGCACGATGTTAAATGTTGTTGAATGTTGAATTGAGAATCGACAGCACAGCACTCGGGACACTCCCATAGGTGCTCAGTCCCCATCTTCAGCAGCCAGCGAAGAGTTCCAAATTTGATGGTACCAGTAACCGTCTCATTCTTCCCCCTGAGTGTTGAGCGTCAGCCAGATCCTTTGGTAACTCATCGCAGCGCCTTTTTTCTTAGACCGTGATGATCTGCGCCTCTGCACTGTTCACTCGCTCCCAAAGGGCCCTTACAATTTCTTATCTTGAGTGCTGTATTGTCCATCATTGACTCAACACAACTCAACTTAAAGCAAATAGTTATTGATGTTTGCATTGTATTAGTAATTGTCTGAGCTGTGCTCTGTGTTTTTGCTCCATTCTAGTATGACATTAGCATTACATTTTCAAATTTGCGAACAGGTTTAATTTATTTTGCCTTTTACAGATTGTCTAGTGCTCAGAAATCGACTTTTACACATGGTATTTTTTATTAAAATATCTCTGAGTGGAGAGGAGCCAACAGTCTGCACACAGGTAGGCCACATCATCTGCTAACAGATGTACCCACACAATTCAAGGTTTTGGAACAAAAACTGAAGTCCAAAATTGGACGAACAACCAGAACATTCTGGAGAGTACAGTCAGTGAGAGCTAAGAAGAAGAAGAAGTGTGAGAACTTCTCTACGGAGAAAGGCAAAAGATCATGTTCGAGAAAGTCTAGAGTACTGTAATTCTTATTCTTGATTCTGCTCTTTTCTAGTATTTCAGCACATCACGGGGCCGACGAGATTTGGTAGGAAAATTCCCAGAACGTCTCACAGTTTAAGGTTAAGGGAGGGGGGGGGGCGTGAGTGGGTAGGGTTAGGGCTAGTGTTGAATGAACAGCAGCTACTACTACGCCTAACCCTACCACTCCCCGACTCCCCCCCCCCCCCCCCCCCCAATATGTAACAGAGTGGGTCATAGCTTGTTTTTTAGAAGGCACAAAGTTATGATGTACTGAAAATCAACAAGTTTTGGTAACCTTGACATTCCCTTTTCCAGAATCTTCTTTTCCCGCCAAACTAGCTGTTAACATCAAACTCATGTTGTCTGGCCTTGGCCTTCTTTCTAGAAGTTTTGAAATGCGTTTGTTTCATCATGTGACCCAACCTTGTCTCACTAGTAAATACTTGTTGACGTGCCCTATTAAAGCAAACGCAATTATACTTGTTTTCCATAAGCTTCTATTGACGTCAGCTGTCAGTTTGACTACTATATCTGCGTAGAATAGGATGATGAAATCCGATGCAATCGAGATATTTTTAGAAAATTCCACGTGAAAACGTACATAGTAAACAAGTTTGGACGTACTAGAATTTTCCAGAAGCAAAAAAGATGAGAAGAAAACAAATAACTAGCATTCCAGCACCCAAGTATAAATACTGGGTAAGAATTCACTCAGGAGAATTCTTCAGTCCACAAGACTCAAGAGAGGAGAGACCAGTCACATGGACTCTCAAAGCCCCTTTACTTGTAGAGATGTTAGCTCAACTCACAGAATGCCTTCAGTTGTTGAGACTCAGAGGACGAGCGACTAATCTCAATGATCCTCGCAGTTGTGGAGATGCCAACTCAACACTAGAAGGAGAGCAGCCGGTCGTATTTAGCCTCGAAGACAGTCACTAGAGAGCAGACATGAAACGAGACATCGAGCCACAGAGACAACACACAAGATACCTGGATCCATGGTTGACAGAGACACGTTAGGAACACTGTAGAGATGTTAGAGTCGACGATCAAGCCGTTAGTACCAAACAGCACTAGAAGCCAGGTGGCAGTTACAGACACTAGAAACAAAGTAACTAGAGATGAAGAACACAACGCGAACCTACGATTATTTAGCCACAGAGAGAACATAGCGCCTTTTAGAATATTATTGATATTGTTTGTGTCATTGCTGAGATATTACAATAAAGACAGTGTAGAAGAGAACTGTTGTTTCCAGACACCTTATTATACAAGCATCCGAGTTACGTGAGAAGCATGCAGCTAGCAAGACATCATCATCATCACCACTATCGACACGACCATCTTTCTCCTCGCTCCTCTTCAAATTGACTCCTCCTGTAGCAAACCTAAAGACGAACCTGGGTATGACAACAGCAATAGCAACAAAGAAGAGAGCTGTGCTACAAATACTATATGGTCCAGGTGATTTCCCGACTAAATCTCATCAGCTCCTTGATGTGGTGTAAAAAGTAAAAAAGTAAAAGTCCTTTTTCCAGGCCTTTAGGTGTAAATGGCATATAGGGCAAGACCAATATTTTTATAGACCAGTCGGCACAAGATAGGAGATGTGGTCAGCATCAAGTCTTGGAGTCAAGATCAGTTTTGACAAAAGTCCGGCTCCCTTGATGTTGCGATTTACTAAAAAAATAAAAAAATAAAAAACTTGATTCTATCATTCCGAATGGTATGGTTATTGTAATTATTTGACATCCTGAGTTAACATTGAACATCATCATCCCCTAACTTGTGATAGACTCTCATCGTGCTTGGGTTATTATCTGTTTCTTCTCTTGTCATTAGGCTGAGCTAGAAGAGAAACTTGAAGAAATGAATTTTGACAGACTGTCTATCTATCGACCAGCGTGAGTTTTTTTTTTTTGTTTTTTTTTTTGTTTTTTTTATATCTTGTATATTATTAAAGTAATGTACTGACTGAATGACTGACTTTCTATCCCACCAGGACATCACACAGTGCGATAGACACCCGATGACACAATGTGCCACCATGTGGATGAGGATCACCGTGGAGAGGTCCCAGAAACCGCGTTCAGCCATTAGGCTATATTTGTGGCCTGGCTATTTTGCGGTCCCTGGCATGAGCCAGAGTAGGGTTTTAAATAACCAAAAATTGCATCTTAAAAAGGACGGCAAGATTAGACAAAGTAATGGACACCCACAATATTACCCTTATTTGTGGGTTCTGGTTTCCCGTTATGGGGAACACAAAATAGGCTCACTGCTCACCAACAAACATGTCGTAAAAGTCTACTAGTTAGGAATGTTTGCTTCAAGGACGGGGTCATCTGCCTAAAACGGATGTGCCCGCAAAAGTCTAGTTCTGGAACAAGACTAAAATCAAGAAGAGGAAGAACAGCTACAACTTTCTGACTGAGTTTACAGCCGGTGAACGCGAAGAAACAGAAGAAGAAGAAGAAGAAGAAGAAGAAGAAGAAGAAACAGAAGAAGAAGAAGAAGAAGAAGAAGAAGAAGAAGAAGAAGAAGAAGAAGAAGAAGAAGAAGAAGAAGAAGAAGAAGAAGAAGAAGAAGAAGAAGAAGAAGAAGAAGAAGAAGAAGAAGAAGAAGAAGAAGAAGAAGAAGAAGAAGAAGAAGAAGAAGAAGAAGAAGAAGAAGAAGAAGAAGAAGAAGAAGAAGAAGAAGAAGAAGAAGAAGAAGAAGAAGAAGAAGAAGAAGAAGAAGAAGAAGAAGAAGAAAGAAGAAGAAGAAGAAGAAGAAAAAGAAGAAGAAAAAGAAGAAAAGAAAAAAAAAAAAGAAGAAGAAGAAGAAGAAGAAGAAGAAGAAGAAGAAGAAGAAGAAGAAGAAGAAGAAGAAGAAGAAGAAGAAGAAGAAGAAGAAGAAGAAGAAGAAGAAGAAGAAGAAGAAGAAGAAGAAGAAGAAGAAGAAGAAGAAGAAGACGAAGAAACAGAAGAAGAAGAAGAAACAGAAGAAGAAGAAAAAGAAGAAGGAGGAGAAGGAGCAAATATTACCCACTTAACTGAAGTAAATGCTACATATGCTATTACCTCTAGTCCTCTTACATGTTTAAAGGAAATGTTACTATGCTAATGAATGTGTCTTATCCTCTCAATTTAACACTGTTTCTGCTTGTGTCTAGTATGATCCTTGGAGACAGTGAGGGAATGAAGGTGTCAGAAAAATTGGCCAGGGCTTGTTTCAAGCCCATTACTTACCTCAGTCCTACCCGTTTAGCAATCTCAGACAGCCTGCTCGCCAGAGGGATGATCGTCAATGTTGTAAAGCCTCATGACCCATCAGTCAGAGAAATATATGAAAACAAAGCTATTCATGATTTGGCTCACAACTGGAAAGACTAACTGGCAATAACAGTCACATACAAAATAATGGTGTTTTCGCAACTTTTAATTAATGGATAGAACACCCTCGGTGTTCATTAACACAATGTGTTTGTCGTATTTAGCAATTACAAATGCCCCTCGATAAATATACACTATCATTTGTCACCCTCCCACACAATCACGGATCAGGTCTGTGTTCCTATCTTGCTCTATCCACATGGCCAAGCCATCCAAGTATTCATCTCTTTGCTTTACCCCCTTGCTCTGTTTTCATCAGTCTTGCTACTCACCACTAAGTTCTTCGGTACATTCACTCTAATATGTAAACAACAACAACAAAATGTTGTCATCAATGGGGAATTTGTGGGCTATCCTCCGACTAACGGTCGGCAAAATATCCTTTCGAGCCACAGCCACGTGTCAATTGCGCACTAGCAGTCACGAGCACACCGCGGCTGCTGCTCATGGGTCCTAACCATCTAGTTTAGCCCTATTCCACGCCGCGTGAGCGCAAATTTTAAATCACGCGACTGTGGCTCGAAAGGATATTTTGCGGCCGCCATCTTTGCCGACCGTTAGTTGGAGGATAGCCAATTTATGTTTTGCTTTCTAGCTTGTTCTTCAATAAGTGGTTTTTTTAAATCTAGTTTTAACTTCAGACTAGCGAGTTTCCTTAGCAGCCTATTGGTAACCTTTTCACCGCTCAGTTAAACTGTTTAAGTTTGGAGGTCGGACCAACATCATCAAGGGTAGTAATCCATAAGTGCTCCGTTCTACATTCTGTCTCAAACCTGAGTCTGAAAAATCTCAGCGCATTGCACAAACTCTGTAGCACCGACTAGGGTCCTGAAATAATTTTGGGGAAAATTTTAGCTCTAGATTGTTTCCTGGGCAGCGTCGTTAGACTACTCTTTTCCGTTTCCAAGTTTCCAACTGCCAAGAGATTTTTTTTAACGTTGGCAACAATACACACAGGCGTCCGATCTCACTACCCAGAGACCAGGAAAAATTACTAGTCCAGGTAAAGAAGTCCCAGCCTGCACCGGAGCTTGAACCCACGACCTACAGCTCATTGAGTATTTAATATCACATATGTATTTTTAAAGCAGTTTTGCCATAAGCTTTTCAAAAAGTTGTGATAAACCAAACTGCATAGTGTGAGGGGGACAAAGACTACACCCACTGCCCCTTCCCTAGTACCAACCCCACTCCAAACAAGCATGCAGTAAAAGCCAAAGAATTGGAGATGTTTCCTTTGAAGTTGCAGTGCCTCTGCCTCAAAGGCAAGAAACCCAAATTCTGGAACACCAGAAGTGGATGAACAACTAGAACTTTTGGCTGGTCTCTACAGCTGGTAGAAAATAAAAAGAGACTTCAGTAAACATACACTTATGTGTATAAATTCTTCAAGTTTTAAAATGCTTTCAGTACAGTATAGCAAAATTGGGTAACAGTAATAATATTTAAATAACTTATATCCTGTTCAAGCCTTTTAGATAATAATTAGTATGTTAAGTCTATTGATTATATTTAATTTATTTGTTAAATGTCATATTTTATCATTGTAATTCATGTAATTTTTGTATTCACATTTACAGCTTTTCAGAAAATGATTATCATATTGCTTTGTAATATTCATCCCTGATATGGGATTATGTGTGTTTGATAAACTGTTTGGATATACTATTTCGATATACTGTTTTGATATACTGTTTAATTTTCACCTGCAATTCTCAAAAATAAAATAAAAAAATGGTAAATATTTGCTGCGGAAAAGCTAATGAAACAAGAACATTCCATGCAACAAAAAGAAAGAGAAACATTCTTTGGTTAAATGAATATATTAATGAAGGAACAGACAATGTATTGATCGGCACTCATATAAAGAAGTAGAAAGATAGACGAACACACTAGACAATATTCAATTCAAAGCTATAGTTACCATGCCGGAAATTGGGTCTGTCACCTCCAGACGGCGTGTGCGCCTCGCTATGGAAACAAGTGCACTAAGAACATAACCAACCAGGCACCCCCTTGTTAAATGAAAAGAAGACATGTAGCATAGACCAAGGGATCTTTTTTTATACTTTATACTGAGAGGAAAGGCAAGACAGATTAATCATACTGCCACTGGTAACATCAGAATTGGAATTGTGCTCGCTGCTGAAGGTGGGGACAGAACACTTATGGGAATTGCCCGGGTGCTGTGATGTCAGCTATCAGCTCATTGTGGAAAAGACCGGTTCAGAAGAAGATAACGATGACTGAAATATTAGTTGTAGAAGAGACAGAGGTCAATAGCATAGGTTCCCAAACTGTATATTTTGGCTCACCTTTAATTTTTTTTTTAAATCCTCACTCAGCACCCTTTACACCCGAAATGTTATAATCATCATCTGTGCCATGCTGATAAACCTAAGTGGTCATGATTCACCAGCTAACTTAATTGACAGTATCGTGGATCATGTCAATGCTCTTGTGCTACCCCCATGCAGGTGGCCAAGCCATCCAGGTATTTGTATTTTTTGCCTTCCCCTACCCTCTTTCCATCAGTTTTGAAGAAGACAATGATGAGGAAGATGAGAAGAAGAAAACAACAACAACATGTAGGTGGTGGAGAAGAAGAGGAAGATTGTATAGCTTTATTTGCCACTAAGAAAAATGTTGTAGTTTTGGATTTTAGATTGCTTTTTTAATGAGCAGATCGTTTTACAAACGTTTTCAATAAAATGTCATATTTTGAGTATAGTTTTCTGGAAGTAAAAGCAGCTGTCCTGATATTCATCACTGTGCCACTGGCGTATTTTTTTTTTTAATACTTCTAATCTTTCCCCCGGAATGACTTGCACCGTCAGGGCAGGAAGAGATCACTGGATTGGGTCCTTCTGTGTGCTTTCTATAAAGTACTTTTCAGTGTCTCTGATATATCTGCTGTACATATTCTGCGTGGTTGACCACCGGAATGCTAAAGTTGTATCTGTATAACATTGCTTTCTGAGGTGCCCTGTCTGCAGCCACTATGGTTACATGGCCAAACCATTTGATTTGTTGTCTACCTATACAGTTCAGTATATGTTCTGTGCCGACTCTCCTCCTGATATCATTGTTCCTGATTCAATCTGTCATTGTTACAACTAGCATAGCAGTGTAAGCATTTCATTTCTGTTGTGACTATTTTCCTTCTGTTTATAAAGAAAGTGTCCGTGTTTAGCATTGATAGCATAGCGTTGGTAGGAAATTTGTGTTGAAAAATGCTCTTTTAGAGTCAGTTGGTTTTAAAAGTTTATAGGAGACTTAACACCCAATGCTACTCATGTCATGAAATAGGGTCTTTTAACGCTACTTCATCCTCCAGTGCCTGTGGCTGCTGTTATCTTTTTTTTTTTTTATTTTATTTGTCTCATTTATATTTACATGTTATGGACTTCATCATGTTAATGATGTATATATATGTATTGTGAGATATTTTATATAGTGTAAAGCTTTGTATTATTGTGACCCTAGATGTAAGTCAATTCTCCCATGAAAATAATAAACAAATCATGCTGTTTATAAATATATTGATCATTAGTGATTTTCTGTTGTGGTAAAAAGAAAATATTCGTTTGAAAGGAATACAAAGAAGAAGAAGGATACAAAAAAGAAGAAGAAGGGGGATACAAAAAAGAAGAGGGATACAAAAAAGAAGAAGAAGAGGGATACAAAAAAGAAGAGGGATACAAAAAAGAAGGATACAAAAAAGAAGAAGAAGGGGGATACAAAAAAGAAGAGGGATACAAAAAAGAAGAAGAAGATGGATACAAAAAAGAAGAGGGATACAAAAAAGAAGAAGGATACAAAAAAGAAGAAGAAGGGGGATACAAAAAAGAAGAAGAAGAGGAATACAAAGAAGAATAAGAAGAATACAAAAAATAAGGAGAAGAGGGATTCAAAGAAGAAGAAGAAGAGGGATACAAAGAAAAAGAAAAGGGATACAAAGAAGAAGAAGAAGAATTCAAAGAAAAAGAAGAGGAATACAAAGAAGAAGAAGAAAGATACAAAAAAGAAGAATAATAATTTAAAGAAGAAGAGTTATACAAAGGCGAAGAAGACAAATACAAAGAAGAAGAAGAATACAAAAACGAAGAAGAGAGATACAAAGAAGAAGAAGAAGAAGGATGCCAAGAAGAATAAGACTTAAACATTGGGCAAAATCCCTACTTCCTGCTGCACCATTCTCTTAAAAGAGGGATGATCTGTTTGTACTTCTGTATTTTTCATCTGCTTCCAAAAGGTCTTACCACAGCTTCTGTAGCATGCATCAATTCAACAAAACTAAATATCCAAAGGACGCTTACCCTATAGCTGTGCTTGCCACTCTTGCACGGAATATACTTGTCTCCACTGTTCTCAGCATGCTTTGTGAAACTTTAAACTTGTAAGAGAATGGTGCAGTAAGAAGTAGGGATTCTGGCCAATGTTCAACACTCAGAGGAATGGCAAGATTAATATATAATCAAACTTCCACTGGTACATCTGAATTGGAATTTTGTGTTGGCAGCCAAAAATGAGGGGCAGAGCACTTAAGAGAAAATCCACTGTGATGTGATAATGGTTCTCAATTCAGCTGAATACACCTTAACGCAATACAACTTAACGCAATGCAACTTAACTTGGCTCGCTATTTTTCATTTAAGGATGCACTGTGTGCTATTTTTTAAAAATTAATTCTTTTAGTACCAAGCACCTCACCATATGTTTCTTGGTATTATGAGCATAACATAATGTTCTTGCTGTCTTCTATCACAGTAGATGTCTTACTGACATGTTGTATCTACATTACCAGTTTAACCCCTTCTGTTCCATTAGGCCTCTGTTGAACTCCTACAGATCTAAGTATTTATTGCTTACAAGCTGAATTTCTTGTGAAAGAAGGGGTTAAATTGATAACTGATGAGGATTGAAAGAGTCTTGCTGACTGTCATGTCTCTAAGCTTGATCTCAATGATACCATAGCTCCATCTTTTGCATGATCTTCC